TTTGTAAAAACTTCAATTGAATTTCAATAAAGTTAAAGGCATGGCCTCACCGTTAATATTTAAAAAAAAAAAAAAAACAAACTAACCAAATTACAATTATAGATGCAGCTATTTGCAAGATCATAAATACTATACTTAAACAAATGCTTATATCATAATATTATACCTGTCAAATACCAACTTTACTAATTATACATCCTTTATGATCTATAAGACTATTTAATATGCAAGAGGCTTCTCACAAATCCAAAAAAAAATAAACAAATACCTACATCTATTTAAGCTACAATTAACAGTACATTTCAAGAAAAATTAATATCTCTATCATCAAACTCCAATGAAATTCCTGGACATATTCAAGAAATCCTACTATTTACACTTTTAATTACACGAAAGTCATATATAAGAGATACTGTTAATGTATTAAGAAAAATTAATATCTCTATCATCAGACTCCAATGAAATTCCTGGACATATTCAAGAAATCCTACTATTTACACTTTTAATTACATGAAAGTCATATACAAGAGATACTGTTAATGTATTAAGAAAAATTTTTATATTTGACAAGCTGACAGACAACTACTTTGCAAAACTTCCAACATTACTAGAAAGGTATTAAGAACTTCTTCCAGAACTAAAAACATATTTTCCAATTACAAACAGGCAATTATTAATATGATGCCAAAAGCCTTAACTCGTCAGTTACGTGACCTTGTTTCAAATTCATGTATGCAGTATAACATACAAATAGCCAATCATATTGCATCATTTGATTGGTTCCGATTGGATGCTAAATATACTTTTTCTAATTGGATATTATTTTTAGTCTATTAAAATTACCCAAATTACGAATTTACTAATTTACCCCACTACTTCTCATTGGCTATGCTAATTATTCGCTTAGCAAAGTATTTATTTTATTAATCAATTTTTTTCTACTCCGATAGTAAAGTAGGGCACCCAAAAATTACAACTTAACCAAAAACATTTTTTTGCGAAGTTTCATTTTCCAACTATATAAATACAGAAATACAACCGTAAGTAATTGACAATATTATACTCTTTCGATATTCACACTAGTTTTAGTTTTAAAATATAATCAATATGTAGGTCAAATATAAACCGGTAATAAATTTGTAAAACCAGCACATAAAGTACGTAAGTACATACATATGTACCAGGTACATTTTTTTGGCGCTATAAGTATTCAGTAAATTGATCATAGCCATATAGTACTTGCATCAACCTTATATATGTACGCATGTATGCACATATGTACATGAGCTAATTCTGTCTTGTCAATAGTGCTCCTATCAGTATAATTTACAATTTTTTTGGTTATGATCGTTTATGTTCAAATTTTTTTTTTTGATTAATTTATATCATATAAAAAAACACAATGATTTAAAAAAAAAAAACTTTCTTGGCATAATTACTATATGGGATAGTTAAATATGCACTGAGGCTTTCATTGCAGAACCAAAGTGTGATTAGTGATTAATGATAAAAAGGGTCTTTGACATTGCAAATAGAATAATAACAAAGAACTGGAAGCACTTTGGGCCACCATTCATTTATAAGAAAATATAACTGATTGGTGAACATCCTTCTTTGTCTGTTTTCATGGCACCCCGAACAAAAAGGCAAAAGCAAATAAGTAATTTGCCAAGAGAGAAAGGCTGCTATCTTAACCAAAAGAACCAAATTTTTATAGAGTCACTAAATATAACCACAATTGAATTGCAAGAAGAATGGACAGAAAATGAACTAGTAGAATTCGAGGGAGTAGGAACAAGGCTTATCAATGAAATTCTCAGATGGCATAAGGATGCTGCAAAACACCTTAGAACAGTATACACTGGGACCTCAAGAATGACAACATGGAGACAAAAAAAAAAAGAATGAATGATGAAGAGAACACAAAAGAAATCAAAAAACTTGAGACATTTTTTCAACTGAGTTCATTAACAACTTCCTGTCAAGAATCTTACATTTCAGCATCCTTATCATTATGCCCCTCTCCAATTATTATACCAGATTCATCTTTGTTATCAACTGAAAATTTATGTATCTGTTTGGAAGAACTTAACCAATGATGTTTAATAAGAAAATCTGTGAAGGAGAACAGTAAAATCTTTACATATGATCATTTACATTTTCTAAGTATATGTCAATATATACAATTATTGTTAGAAGGACAAGATAAAATGGATGCTGCTAACCAAATTGCACGTTTTATATGGAATAAAGGGGGTTATATGGCTAAATGCATTCAGATATGGAGAAATTATTTCATAAAGACAGAAGAGCTTCTTCCTTACCACCAAAGTAAACATACCAAACTCGAAAGCTTAATTAACGATGAGGATTTTAGTGAAGATTGTATAGAGTGGTTAAGGCAACAAAAACCGGAAGTATGTACACCTAGTAATTTGAAAGCATATATTGAGAATACACTATTTTCAAAATTGATTGGTCATATCAAAGAAGACACTATATCAGAGAAGACGTGTAGAAATTATATGTATTCATGGGGTTTTAAATATAATGAGAGAAGAAAGGGTATTTTCTTTGATGGTCATGAGAGACCAGATGTGCTGGTGTATAGAAACAAATGGTTAAAGAAAATGTTCATGTATAAAAAAAACATGAAAGATTTTGTTGGTAAGTCGTTAGAATTTGTATTAGAACCTTAGCTCAATTTAGAGGAGAAAGAATACATTCAAATAATACATGATGAATGTTATTTCTATGCTAATGATGGGTGGCGACGAATTTGAATTTATAAAGGTGAAAATATTTTGCGCCCAAAACATCTGGGACGTTCTAAAATGGTCTCTGCTTTTTTGTGCCCTTGCCATGAACTATTATGCCTAACTGACCAACAGTTATATGAAAATCCGTATATTAAAGATAAAGAAACATTTGTGATTCATTCTGTTCAGATAGATGGATATTGGAAGGCAGAGCATATGCTTGAACAGCTTGTAAGTAAAGTAATCCCAGTATTTGAAATATTACACTCCGGGTGTATCGGTATGTTTTGCTTTGATCAATTTACTAATCATAATGCTATGGCAGAGGATGCACTAATCGCAAAAAAGATGAACTTGAGTTCTGGAGAGAAACAACCGATGATGCAAAATGGTTGGTTTATTGATGAAACCGGAAAAAAATGTGTGCAACCGATGGTATTTCCGAATGATTATCAAAAGGAGGCGTTAAGAGGCAAGCAAAAATGTTTGAGGCAAGTGCTTGAAGAGCGAAAACTCTGGTCTGCAGAAAAGGTTCTGCTAGTATGTGAAAAATGTTCTAGAAAATGTACTGATAATGGCCCAGAAAAGTTGGATTGCTGCGCACAAAGAATCATGTCATTGCAGCACGATTTTCTTGAACAATGGTCTCTGTTAGAAGAAGCTGTAATTAATGCAAGGCACATTTTTGAATGCTATCCCAAGTTTCATTGCGAGTGTAACTTTATCGAATGATATTGGGGTTTTACGAAACAAGAAGCAAGAAGATTATGTAATTATAATTATAAGGATTTAGTAAATCTTGTTCTGGAAGTTCTTAAGAGTGTTTCTGTAATCACTATTCGCAAATTTTCCCATAAATCGTGGAGATATATGGATGCATATGATAAAGGACTGAAAGGTGTAGCTGCTGAGTGGGCTGTTAATCAGTATAAATCACATTGTCGAATCCTGAAGAATATTGAGCAAATGATGGAATGAATGAATAAAGGCATAATCATAATAATATTAAATTTTAACCTTTATTGTAAGTAATTACTATGTTTATAGTTTTATTATTTAATTTCGCTATGACAATATTTTTATTAACTAAACATACTTTACATGAAAATTTATTCAGGCAAGTAAGTTTTATCATTACAACCAATTTTGTAAACCTCAAATTAAAATTAAAATTTATTCTTTTTATGTTACCCCAATACGTATTTATAATTTATAATTAATAGTTTACAGTATCCTAAATAGGTCAGTATAGGTGATTTGATTAGACTACGTATCAAATTTTTTGGGATTTATTGTTTATAATGGATACCCAAACTTGAAGCGCAAAAATTAATTGGGCGAATCTATTGTTTTATAACAGATAACCGAACTGGAACTGGAAATACAAGATTAACTGATGATTATACTTTTTTGTGCGTAAGTTTAATTAGTTCAACCATGTATTCTTTGCAGAATCAATCTAACATTTTGTATGATTTAAAAATAGTCATATAGAAATTCATAGTTTTATAATGATTTGCATTAAAACTAAACTGCATATTATTGCTGCTTTTTTGGTGCAAATATTGTTAGGTATAAAATTAGAAGGTGTATACATATAATAAAATTTTGTATTTTTGTTAGAATGCAAAAGGCAATCTTATAGGCAAACTTTCGAGTTACAGATGATTTTAAAAAAAATTATTCCATATTAACCTGATCTGTGATTTAATTGTTAAAAATTACAGAATTATAAATTTTTATGTAATATGGAGTCAAATTTGCGAAGCTTTATAATATGATTGGTTAAAATAAATCATGTGATCAAATACTGCGATTTTATTGGTTAAATTCATGTTTATTATATGTTTCAATTTAGTTAAAACATAATCAAATACTTTAATTTTAAATGCTTATAACTTTTTATATAAGGCTTATTTAAAAAAACTAACCAGTAATTTGATAGAGAATATTATAAAAAACAAAGTTACCAGTTTAGTTTTTTAAAATTTTATTTGTATAAAGTATTAATAGATTTTAAAATATATATAATTTACTGGCGAGTTAAGGCTTCCGGCACTATACCTTTTATATTTTAGATACAAACTTGCTAACTACTATACTTTTACTGTAATTCTGAATTTCTACTTTCAACTTTTTTTATCAAAACAACCATTAGCTACTACATATCAAGAACTTCATTATAAAATCAAAGATCTTTTTTTATTTAACTTATCTATATCCAAAATACTATTAGCTAAGACAGTTGCATAGCTAAAAGAGTATTATATATTTAAACTACTTCCTAGTGATTACTTTATCACCAAACTACTATTGACCAATAATTCAGATCTTATTCACATTAACTCACAGTACATTTATCTAATAACTGATAATACAATAATATAAGAATTCTTTGAGAAAGTCTTTCAACAATATTATATTTGATTCCTACTATCTGATCATATAATGTAAGCAAACCCTATTGATAAATCAGATCTACCAACAAACAGCCAAGAGCTTGCTAAACTCAATATCACACTATCTATTATAATATCTTAACAACTTACTTAAATTATAAAAACACTTCAACAATACTTTTATTTTAAATAACTATCATTATTATAGATTAATATTACAAACCCTCTTGTTCAAACTAAAGAGCAAAATGACAATGTTAACAGTAATAAACTAACTCAAACAACACAAGCTCTCCTATCTATACCTGACAATATAGAAAATATTATCACTATATTAACTTAGAATAATATACAACTCACTTTTCCAATAATCTTACAATTAAAAATAACACCAACAATGCAAATTCTTAAACAACACTATACTATTTACACAATTCCAGACTTTTTTACCTAATCTACCACTATTATTTATACCAATATAGGAAATATTTAACATCTTTACTATAACACAAATGAGCCACTTACAATTAATACAGTGGCAATAAACACTTTTAACTTTATGTCAATACAAAACATTATTGAACCTAACAACAAACTTATACATTAACACTTAACCATTACAATACACAATATCCAGGGATACAATAATATTATCAAAAGGTAATTATAGATAGATTATTGTATTAGCCAACAGTTTAATATTATATTACTTACTAAAACAAAACTGGTACAATCTTATTATACACAAAATATACTTTAAAACAATAACTAAAAATGCTTTATATCAAAAACAATATTACTAATTCTAGACACAAATTATTAACTCTTCCTAACAATCACTTGTACCAAATTTTCTCTAAATATAATTATATTTTTCTCAATTTTTTATTAAGCAACATAGTTTGACTGCCTAAATAAAATTGTTTCTGATAAAATTTTATATATAGGCAGTCCAGTTTTATATTTTCATAGACATTTACTACTAGGATATAATTAAACTTTGTAATTTTCTTTTTTCTGCAAAAACTTAAATATTTATTAAGTAAATTATAGTTGTTACATAGAGCAAGCTTTTCAGCTCACTCCAGCCATTATTTTGATATATTATATACTATAAACAGTTTAATATTGACAATTATATAGTAAAATTACTTCAAAACTCTCTTGAAAACTATAATCTACTTTTGCAAAAAAATTTTCTACTTTTTGAAGGAATTCTGGTCTTCTAGGACACCCCAAACCTGTATATCTAAATTACTAATCAATATTATTAATCTATTTATATAAATCTAACTTTGTTTTGTCTATTTTTAAATTTTACCAATTTAGTCTTAACTAAATTACACAACTCCTGTTATACAGTAATTACATCGATCATTTAGGTGTCATACTGGTATTACCTTAAACATTACACCCCTTACTTGGTACATCTCTTATTTGACACATCCTTTAGTCATCATACTCTTATTTGTCACACTCCAATTTTGAAAATTGCTCCAAAAAATGCCTACTTTAACTAACTTTCAGGAATCAAATTTCTATAATATTAACTACTATTATTCTAAATATAAAGACAGGTACAAAGTTGGACTCCAAGAAAATAAACCTTAAGCATTACATGTTCTATCAGATTTTGCTAAACCTGATATCTGTGATGAAAAAATCAACTTCATTACTTTAAAGTTCCTCTTTAACCTGTTATCACAACCTATCTTTGTAACAAGTTTTATATAAGCTATACTTCTAAATACTACAAAATTACTTATCTAACAACAATCGGTCAACCTTTAAATCCAACTCAAACTCAAATTAGAACTACTATCTCTGCACAAAGTTTCAAATAATCAGATAAACTATCTGTCTTTTCAATTTTTAAATTAACAAACCAAACTCAATTTTCACTTTTCTTTTCTGCATATGTTCTTTTTCTAAATTTTCAAACAAACACACCTTCTACAGCTATAATTGCTCACTTTCAACATTATCATAACTGTTTTCTTTGCAAAGTTAAAAATATTTAATGTGTCTTCACAGATAATTAACATAATCATATATCAGACTACACAGTAGCATGCATCTTTAAAGCTCTTTAATTCATCGATCTTGTATATTAAAAATTCAAAATATTGAACTAAAAACTTTCTACTTAATCCTATTGAATTCAGATTACAAAAAAATTATTATCCTTTATAGACTTAGTACCATGTTAGCAAAAGACAAAATCCAACTTTATAACTCAATCTTTTCTAAAAAACCTAATTCTCAATATTTATAAAATAACAAAAACAAAAACAAAAACAAATTATTAGAAATACTTCTAATAACCTTGATTTGTTTAAAGAATATCTAATAACTGACAGAATGAAATATCATATTTGCTTGGACAACAAACTAGTCTCACAAATTCTTGACCTTATCAAACCATATCTCATTAATATATATTCAGGTAAAATCACTGAACAAGTAACTAAAGGCAAACCAGCATCCAAGTTTAACTATATATACTTAGTTAAAACTTTAGCTAAACTTTGTTTTAAGTTTTTAACAGATCTTATATATAAAAACAATCCATCTATAGACAAATCTTTCTCTATTCTATTTGAATTGATTTACTTAACTCTTATCACACTACTTAAAGAATTTAATATTACTCTTTTTATACATCTTAACTATCCAAAATTTTTGCTTCATACAGTTCAATCTCACTTTATACTACTTCTAACTAAACTCAAATTGCACTTAAACTAGCCCATCTACATATTATTCTTTATGACAAATATAAAACTATTAATGCAAAAAAATTCAATAAAGATCTTAAACTTCATCCTATTTACTTTATACTTCACTATAATATTAGTAAAGATAGCATTAACTAACCTCTCTTCAAAATACAAAATGATAATAAATTCAACATTAATATTTTTCTTAATATATCTAAACAATATTTCCTTTAAACATTTCAAATTCTTTCTTTTAACAACTATTTAACAGAATTTAAAACATGATTTGAAAAATTCTTTAATATCTATAAATATCAATTTATCAAAATCAATAAGCAAAAAACCTTCAACTTCATTAAATATCAAATCATCCTTAAACTTTCCAATACATGTAAAACCCTTTTATCCTAGCAATTTATCATCAACTCTATTGACTCATTATGTGAACATTCTCAATAATGCTTCAAAGCAGCACTTTATCATATCTATACCTGTACTGTAACAAATTGCACTATACTTTTTAAAGATACTGAATATGATGTTAAAAACCTATTCATCTTTTTTTTTAAAGAATCTTTCAAATACTTTCCTGCATTTGTTAACTCAGTCTTCTCCTCAAATTTCAAGCCCAAATACTTACATCCAATTTTGGACATCTCCATATTTAGACATAATAATGATTTTCTTGCTATTTTTCAAAAATCTACACCAATTACTTATTTATGACAACTTGCAGCTAAAGCTAAAGAAAAATTTTAGAAGAAAACAAACTTAACAAAGCAAAAGATTCTGATTATAGTCATAAAAGTTACTACTTTTATATATATATTAATGCATATTTAAAAGCAGTAGCTATTAA